TCTTATTTTCTGATGGAGAGAGTGGATTTTGATTGAGCGTTATTAATAGTTTTACTAATGCCTAGTGCCTGTGTAAATAAAAAGCAAGGAAATTAATGAACACAAGTTAATAATGCTCTTACTAAGACTGAAATTTTGAACATTGTGATATGTAAATTTGTACGGGCCATTTAAAGAACTTCTGATACACACCTGAACTCTTTGCCCGGCTTTAATCCCTTCTTAGTTTAACCCTACTCTTGGTAAAATGGTAATATCTTCTTCAATCATAGGGGAGTCTGACCAAGAAATAAGTTGATAAGGAGGGCTGAACACACACGGTAATGGTGGATCATTGAGAATGAATTTCCTGAAGACCTTTAGGGAACCTTCTACAAGCAAATGTGTTTCAGGAGACCAGACAATGTCCTTTCAGATAACATAGGAGAGAGATGATTGATGTCATCCTAATAACGAGATAGAGATTTTTTAGCCTTTGCCTTTTTAATGATGGCTATCATGAGGGAATTGGCGGTAGGGGTGGAAGATATAACACTGAATAGAGGGCAGTTAAAATCCATAGCAGCACAGGTAATTTAGGCAGAAGAAAAAGTGCCTAAGATTAATCGAAATGGGAGACTACTTTTTAAGTACTTTTAAACACAAAGACCCTGTGTGGTCCACGATCCCACTGAATGTTACTCATTGAGGGCCAAGGAGCAATGTGTTGGGTAGGGACCTGAAACAAGCTTGGGGCTTTGAACACTGTTGCCGAGAGCATCAAAGATAGCTTTTCAGGGAGAGAGGATGTGACCCACGTGACCAAGATGCAGTATGGAGACCCATGGGTAGTTTGATTAAAAAGCCTTTTCATCTCTGTGTGCAGAAGATGCTTCTAAGGGACAGAGCCTGACCCCTGACAGGGATATGCTGATTAAAAGTCGATGCCAGTGCCACTTTCTTGGCATGGGGGGACCAAACCAAGACAGTCAGAGGCTTCATCTATGTCATTCAGCAACGACCGAGGGGGAATGGGAACCGGGAGGCCTGTTGGGTTGACGACAGAATCAACCAACTGTGCGAGATGAATGGAGGGGAGAGGTGTGTATGGATTTTGAATAGCCGTGCAGGTGAGGGGGGAGTGGGAGTTCTCAGCAGGCCAGGTCATGGATCAGGGAGGACCCACATGGACATTTCATCTGAGCAGGGGTCCAATTGTGAAAGGAAAAATGTAGATATCAAAAAACGCAATGGAAGAAAGGTCTTGTTCCTCTGGTAGCTATTTTTCTAGCTAAGCCCATTGAGAGGGTTCACAGAAGGACATTGAGCTTTGCTGCACAATAATGGTCCCTGACAGACAGACTTTGATTCCTGGGATCAGCTGCGATCAAAGATGGAAGAGCAGATCTTGTCTGGGCCTGCACACTCTAAAGCCCCACTGAAATGGTTGAACGCAAGGCAAGAGGACGTAACACCGATTTTATGTCTAACAGTGTGTGGGAATGCCACAGTGTCAATTAAAGGCATTTATCAACTTCATGGAATTTGAAGTGTGATCCTATTTTCAAATCAAAACATTAGCCAAAGTATAATTAAAGCCAAAGTTTTCCTCTTGTCTCAAATGAAATATAAAAGAAGTCAAAGGTGGAGACTGCTTATAAGATGAAAGTTTTATTAGAAAAATTTGGGGAACAAAAGAAAAATGTTAGTGATTTTTTATCTCCTGTTGCTACAATAGATATTTTGTCTTTATAAAAGGAGAAGCCCACTCATGGACAGTGTTCTGAATGTTGACTGCAAAATGAGCACACTACAGAATGAGTATTGTGGGGCGTTTGTGCCATGAAACTATCCAAGGAACCCCTGTTTTCAAGGAAGGGAAGGACTTCTTAGCTGACTTCTTAGGGGATGCTGAAGAGTTCTCAGCTACATAAATCGTATCGGGAGCAACGTTAGGAAAGAGTGGTTTGCTGCTGTTGGCTCTAGGTGCTCCAGTTTTCAAAGCCAAGTATCTTTCTCAGGACTCTCCTCATTTCCAAATTCAGGTGAATAAAGAGGACATTGGATTTGCTCTTCTGTTACCACGCAGACAGGGGCATTTGGAGGATCGGTGAGAAACTATGGTAGCCGCCCTGCCTTCTGTGCTGGAAGGCCCCTGTAGAACCCCAGAAATGAGATGAGGTTCAGCCTCCTAAGCTGACCATATTGTTCCTTTTTCATCTTTAATTCAGAAGGGCATCCAGAGGGAAATCTTTAACTTCACCCAGTAGTGTGCCCTTTCATCTGGCCACTTTGCCCAGATCCTGCCCTTTTCGTAAAATACTGAATGATGATGATCTTCCTTTTGCAGTGGGAGGAACCGGGATGCCTGGGTCAAATCCCAGGATTCTCATCAGTCAGAGCCTCAAGCAAGAGTAACCACAAGAGAAAATGTTCCCAAGCGTATTTTTTATTTTATTTTATTTTTTGAGACAGAGTCTCGCTTGTTGCCCAGGCTAGAGTGAGTGCCGTGGCATCAGCCTAGCTCACAGCAACCTCAAACTCCTGGGCTCAAGCAATCCTTCTGCCTCAGCCTCCCGAGTAGCTGGGACTACAGGCATGCGCCACCATGCCCGGCTAATTTTATATATATATATTAGTTGGCCAATTAATTTCTTTCTATTTATAGTAGAGACGGGGTCTCGCTCTTGCTCAGGCTGGTTTCGAACTCCTGACCTTGAGCAATCCGCCCGCCTCAGCCTCCCAGAGTGCTAGGATTACAGGCGTGAGCCACCGCGCCCGGCTCCCCCAAGCGTATTTTAATGGTGTTTGTAGTGTTAACTAAATAAGCAAGAGTCATTAGCCTGAGATGGTCTCCGTGCTTTGAGTTCTTACATAACAAGCAGCAACCTGACTTAGTGCGTAAACAAACCAAAACCTAAATTAGGAGTATATTTTTTGTAACAAATAGCTGGGTTTCAGCCATTCACAGGCAGTCCTCTGAACAGACCATGCCCGAGTAAGGCAGATACCTAGGTGTAGCTGTTCAGATAATTTATCTACTTTGCTTCCATTTCAGCCTCTAAAAACTCACTGTTCACACTGCTGGGCAAAGATCTCTGAACCTCTTTTTGTTCTGAGTACTGCCCAATTCATGCATCCCTCCTCTGCTCAAATAAACTCTGTTAAATTTTATTTTTTCTAAAGTTTTTCTTTTAGTATCACTGTGGTCTACGATAAGTATGGTATCTTCCCTTGAGAAGACCTGCAGTTTGCTTGTGGAAGCAGGTGTTGGGAGGGTTGGAGTTTGTGAATGTTACTGTGAAGTGGTGCAAGGAGGGGTATTTGAGACCAGATGGGAGTTGTAACACCAGATATGGATGGTGTGGCATATAATATGTGGTAAACTGAGGTAGCTGGTAGGTGCCTATGGGTTTTGTGCATTCTTGTGTGACTGGGTTTAGCTGGGGGAAGGTTTCCGTGTGCATCTAGTTTCTCACAGACAAAATCATGCATACAGGCCGGGCGTGGTGGCTCACGCCTGTAATCCTAGCACTCTGGGAGGCTGAGGCGGGCAGATTGCTCGAGGTCAGGAGTTCGAAACCAGCCTGAGCAAGAGTGAGACCCCGTCTCTATCATAAATAGAAAGAAATTAATTGGCCAACTAATATGTATAGAAAAAATTAGCCAGGCATGATGGCTCATGCTTGTAATCCCAGCTGAGGCAGAAGGATCACTTGAGCCCAGGAGTGTGAGGTTGCTGTGAGCTAGGCTGACTCCATGGCACTCACTCTAGCCTGGGCAACAAAGTGAGACTCTGTCTCAAAATAAATAAATAAATAAATAAATCATGCATACAAGCTGGGCATGGTGGTACATACTTGTAATCCAAAGCTACCAGGGATTATTTAAGCCCAGGGTTTGAGACCAGTCTGGGCAACATGGCAAGACCCCATCTCTAAAAAAGAAAAATATCTCCCAAAAGTCCTACATAATTAAACACAGAATTCACATTATGCTTATGTTGTACCCTCATATATCAATAGCATTGGAATAAATTTGCATTTTCAGAACAAACATTACAGCAGAACAGACTATAGTAGCTTTCTGGAAAAGGCCAATTTCACCTAGACAGTACCTAAAAGTATAAATAAGTAAAATCAATGTAAAGCATAAAGGCTCACAGGACTGTTAGCATCCTTTATAAAGCAGTAAGCATTATATAAATAAGTTTTTTGCATCCTTTATGTATAGGTTACTATATCCTGGGTAAGTGGAGTTATTGTCAGACTGTGTGTGAATAACGGGGGTGTGGGACTAGGTGCTCTCCTTGGCTGTATTTTGTACTGACCATGCTTAGGGATTGTCTCTAAATCATCTGCTACCTTGTCCTTCTTCCTTTAGCACAGACAAGCTACTCTCAGCACCCTGATCTTTATATTAACTTTCACACAGACTCGACCTCATGGACAGAGTAGTCAATAAATAACAGTATGCTGTGATCTTCTGCAAATGAATCTTGTATTTTAAAAATAAATGTGATCATGAATATATATAATGCTAGGAGAACAGGAGTAGTCATATAGTTTATGACTTCAGTAGGTTGTGTAGGCTAAAAAGGCTGGAGGGTCCATAGATTACCTTTTAGAGAGGTCCATGAAACTCAGAAATTTTTGTAGTTAAGTACATTTTGGAGGGAAAGGATCCTCAGCTTGCATTATATTCCTAAAGGGATCTTTGATCCCCAAATGGCCAAGAAATACTGATTTGGAAAATCCATGGAATGTAGATTCATACGGTTCATTTAGGGGAATTTAGAGCCATCTGTGGTGTGTCCTGGTACATTGATTCCATGAAGGGCACTTTTAGCATTGCTGGGTGGCGCCGTCTGCAACAGCACAGAGCTGGCTCGACCACTGGGTCGAAATTGTGCTTCATCTTTGATGTTTCCCCCAAGTTAGCCACGCCAGCGGTGAAGGGCTTCCTTTCTAACAGGGCCTTTCAACCAAGTATCTCATGCTTCCCTGGACTTTGTTTTTCAGATGGGAACAACGAGAGCTGCCCAACGGACGTGTCTATTATGTCGACCACAATACCAAGACCACCACCTGGGAGCGGCCTCTTCCTCCAGGGTAAGGCATGAACCAGCAAGCCCTGAGCCTCCAGAACTGGTCCAAAGGGTCAACCAATGGCTTCTTGAAATGGTCCCTTTCTGCAGAGATAGCAGAGTAGAGTGGCATTTATCATGGGTCACTTGATTGCTTTTCCTATCCACTTAATTTTGCTCTTGTTTCTTAGGACAGTCTAGAATTTTTAGAGGATGTCTTGGAAACAAAAGGGGCATGAGGGGCCAAGAGAGAAGGAGCGCTGATACATTTCACTGCACCCCGTGCCCAACCTGCCCCTAAAGGCAGAGCGCTTCTCGTTCATCTGGGCTTCGGGAGATGCCTCTGAGTTCTCCAAAACCAAAGGATGAGAGAGGCTTCCAAGTGAGGGAAGACTGTCCAAGTTCAAGGAGAAGGGGTTTGGTTCCCTGTCTGCCAGGGACAGAAAGTTCTTTCCACATGTGTCTCCTGGTCCTGAGAGCTTTCAAAAGGGAATGTATTCTGCTTTCAAGAGAGAACCACCCCCCAGTATAGCAGCCATGAAAGGCTCCTATGTAAAGCACGCACACTTCCCCTTCCTAAGTTTGCAGAGGGAAAGGCTGTTGGAAGTTGGCAGTCTTGGGAGAGCCCCTGTGCTTTGTTTGGTTCAACTGTCAGGCGTGTGCCATGCAAATACAACCTCATCTTCTGGCCCTACAAATTTCCGTGGATGGGCTGCTTACAGCTTCAGTTTTCCGTTGGAGTGCTTGGGTTTTCCTTTTTTTCCCCTACCTTCTGGGGAGGAAACGCATAATCTGTCATCATTAGTGCCCACTCTGTTTTGTTTTATTTTGTTTTTATTTTGAGACAGAGTCTCCCTTTGTTGCCCAGGCTAGAGTGCCGTGGCGTCATCATAGCTCACATAGCAACCTCAAACTCTTAGGCTCAATCAATCCTTCTGCCTCAGCTTCTGACGTAGCTGGGAATACAGGCGTGTGCCCCCACGCCCAGCTGATTTTTCAATTTTTAGTAGAGATGGAATCTTGCTCTTGCTCAGATGGTCTCGAACTCCTGAACTCAAGCTATCCTCCTGCCTTGGCCTCCCAAAGGGGTAGAATTAAAGTCACCATGCTCGGCTTATGTTTTTTACTTTGACTTAAAGTCAAATGAAGTTACCAAAGTTAAACATTCACTTCTTAAATTAAAAAAAATCTGTTAAGCATTAAAATAAATTTTTTTTTAATAGAGGTGGTGTCTCACTGTGTTGCCCAGGCTGGTTTCAAACTCCTGGTCTCAAGTGATCCTCCTGCCTTGGCCTCCCAGTATGTTAGGATTACAGGTGTGAGCACTGCACCCAGCCATAGTGGCTCACTCTTAAAACACGAACAAATAGCCAAATATCAGCAGACAGGAAAAAGGGAACTTGGTGTAAACAATATGGAGAGCTAGAAAAAAAAAAGAGAAAAACAAACCAAATTATAATTAATATCCTCAAAGAGTTAGGATCTGTGCAACAAGAACAGGAGGCCATGAAATGGACCATACAGAAAACAAGAGCTTTTAGTAAAATATCTTAATGTGGTTCTAGCAAGAAAGAATAGAGAATGAGATGATAGGAATGATAAAAAAAGAGAGAGAGAAAAGAAGAAAGAAAATTGGCAGAACTGAAATATACAATGTCCAGATTCCAAGGGCCCAGCAAATGCCCAGCCCAGAGGATGAAGAAAGACCCATCCCAAGGCACAGCTAATGGAATTTCCTAGTGCCAAGAGAAGATCTCGAAAGCTTCTCGGGAGGTAGAGTAACCAGGGTTCATAGAAAGGGGCAGGGTTCAAGAATGCCACCCTTCTCGACTGTAGCTACAGAGCAGGATCGTCACCATTCTGGTGGAAAATGAAATCAACTTTTAGTTATTTTAACATTATAGCATGAGGGTAGAAATAAAGGCATCTTCAGACATGCTGGGTTTCTGAGAAAGGTGCATCCATTCTCGGAAGCTACTAGTTGATTTATTCTGCCAAATGAGAAGAGGCCAAGAAAGAAGGAACGGGGGATGCAGGACACAGGGAACTCACCCCAAAGGCATGGGAGTTCTCAGGGAGAAGAGGAGGGAAAATGAGTCAGGACAGTAATGTCAAGCAGTTGGGATGTGGACATGCAACCATCCACCTCCAACAAAGGAGAGATGTGGCTGAGAGATTAATGCCACCCATAGGAGGTGACACCTGTCCTGGCCCAGATTGTGGGGGGAATTAGTGACAGTTTCTTGAAATCCAAGCAGAAGGAAACAAGGAAGTTCTTGCCTTCAGAAAAAATACCAAAACATTATTATAAGTCAGGAAATGTATTTGTAGTATTCTACATCATCATAATATGAATGCTGAATACTGATTTAATGATGATTTTCCATACTGGGAGGATAAGGAGAGGAGACAGCAGTGTGTGGATTGATGGTGGAATACAATAACTAAATCCTCATCTTTTGTAGTGGAAAGTCCATAAGTAATATCAAATATGGCAAAAATCATCAAATATGGAACAGACATGTTATGTAGGGACATGGACATACATATATATTAGCAGACGCAGTTGAGAGTTGAAAGTAGTTGGCTTTAGGGAACAAGACTGTAGTGAAGCAGGAGACCACAGTTTCTCGTTGCATTTTAAAGCTATATAAACATGATTTCTTTAATAACAAATAAAATAAATAAAAATGACTAGAGAAATTATGAGAAAGGCGGGAAGGTTCCAGATATTTGTGAGCCTAGAATACTAACTAAAGGATTTTGACTCATGGGCGGCTGGGAGTCCATTGAAGTTTTTGGGCAGGAGTGGGACCCACGGAGCAGTCTAGTGGGTTACTCCAGTGGCTGTTTAAGGGTGGATGGACATGGGAGGTTAGTTCTGTGGTAGGCACAGTAGTCCATGGGAGAGGAGACACAGATGTGGACATAGAAATGGAGAGCCAAGGCCAGGGAGAGAACACAAAAGCCCTGGGCTCAGTGATTGACTTCGGGCAGTGGTATGGCAGTGGTCTGTGTTCATCCAGAGAGATGAGGGCCCGAGGGATCCAGGAAAGGCTCAGGTGTGGGGAGAGAGCTGTGGCGCTCACCTGACCGCACAGTCACAGCCAGTCATGAAGGCGAGGCCGTCTAGTGGTCCATTCTGGGAACTGGCTGTGGGGCTTGGGGGAAGCCATTTTTAGGGCTGCCTCGAATTTAAAAAGGTCATTGAAAGGTGGCCAAAAAGTCAGCGAGGAGGAGAACCCAGAAAATCAAAGCAGGTACCAGATGAAGCACGGTAGTCATGTGCGTAAGAAGAGAATTCAGAGATGAAATGAGACAGTGGTCAGGGAACAAATAACCCACACCGGGTTCCCTCTGCATTGGCTTTGTCCTGTTTTCTTCAGTTGGTACCTCTTTCTTCTTCTGTTCACCATTTTCCTCCCTGTTTTTCAGATTTATAATGGAAAATTTCAAGCATACACCAAATCTGAAAGAACAGTACAATGAATCCCTTGTCACCCTCTTCTGGTTCCAACAATTAATAACAGCTTGTTTCATCTGACCTCCCAGGGGCTGATGAATGTTAAAGCAAATCTCAGACATCATATCCATTGACCTATAAATATGTCACATATGTCTCTAACAGAAGAGTTTTTTTTTTTTTTAAAGAAAACATAAAAATCCACAATACCACTATCCCACCCAACACAATCACATTCCTTATGTCATGTCATACCCAGCTTGTGTTCCGTTGTCCCCAAGTGTCTTTAAATACGTTTTTGTACTTGTTTGGTTTGAATCACATCCAAACCCAAGGTCAACACGTTGCTTTTGGCTGATACGTCTCTTAAGTCTGTCTCGGTCTGTAAGTTTCCCAGCCATTTCTTATTTTTTATTTCCAGGCCATGTATTTGTTGCAGAAACTGGGCATTTGTCCTGTAGAATTTCTCACACTCTGGATGTGGCTGATTGTGACCCTGTGGTGTTTTATAACATGTTCCTCTCTCCCTTGTCTTTCCTGTGAAGTGGTAGCTAGATATGGAGGCTTGATTAGATTCAAGTTCACTTTTTCACCTTGGGTTGTAATTTCCATACTGTGAGATGCACAGACCTCAGGTGTTACAGGCTATGAGTTTTGTCACCCATGGAACCCACACCCATCAAGGCGGAGAAAACCTCCATCACCCTAGAAAGTTCCCTTTCCTGTTTTCTTTTGATCACTTCTCCCCTGTGTTTGAGGAAATCAGAGTTTACCTACCAAGCACAATTGAGGCTTTTTACCGCCTGTTCCAGTCCTGCCTTGCCCGTGGGTGTTTTAGGGCCGAGTTTGGGAAGGTGGTAATGTGGAGAGTCCTGCTGCTGTCTGGACCATGTCTTCCTCTCATGACCTATAGTGTGTTTTCATTGGCACCTTACATCAGAAGAGTTGCAGTTGCAAATTACAAATATTGGTGTCCAGATTGGCCTAAGGGAATTTGTTGGCTGATGTAACTGAAAATTCTAGATATAAATCCCGATTTCAAGTAAAGCTTGAGCTAGTGGCTCAACAGGGTAACCAATGTTTTCTTCTGTTTTTCTACCCTAACATCTACTGGGTCAACTTTATACTGCATATGGGTCCAAAATGGTAGTCAACAGCCCCTCCCCCCACCCCACCCCACGCCCCGGACTAAATCATAACTTGGAGAGGACGAGAGAATACGTTTTTCCTAGAAATTGTAGTAAAAAGCCTGAGATTTGCCCTGATTGGCCTGGCACAGATCACATGCCCACTACTGGTCCAGTTGACCATTCAGTTCTGGGGCCGGGAACAGAGTCAGCTTCCCCAGAAGTGCATGCGTCCCTGGAATGGAGATCAGGATGTAATGGCAAGGAGGGATTGGGGGCTGGAGGCAGCCACAGATGTCTGCTATAACATCTAAGCACGAGAAGCCCCTGTGATTGGGATTCCGGGCCATGCCAGACACTATCCCTTGCCCTCCCCTGGTCCCTCCTTGCCAGTCATCCTGAGATTCTTCTGTAATTTGGGGGCAGGGTGGTCACTATATTCATCCTGAGCTTACTGTTTCCAGCTGGGAAAAACGCACAGATCCCCGAGGCAGGTTTTACTATGTGGATCACAACACCCGGACCACCACCTGGCAGCGCCCGACAGCCGAGTACGTGCGCAACTACGAGCAGTGGCAGTCGCAGCGGAATCAGCTCCAGGGGGCCATGCAGCACTTCAGCCAAAGATTCCTCTACCAGGTGAGAGGGCAGGGGCTTGCCTCCAGGCAGGGGAGCCTCCCCGAGCTTCACCATTCTCTGTTGACCTGTTTGGTGAGCAGAGGAGATTTTACTCATCACAGTGAAATTCCTCAAATGCCAGTGTTTCTAACTTAGCAACTCCATGTGTAGCCTCTGTGTTTAAGGAATCAACATCTCTGAAACAGAATTCACCATCTTTTTTCCAAGACTAGCTTTCTTCTATGTCCCTTCCATTCAAGTCCATTTTCCTTTACCTGAAACCTGAAGGTCAACTTGAAGACCTTCTAAAATCCATCTGGATCAGGGGTTAGCAAACAATAGCCCCTGTGCCAAACTGGCCCACTGGCTGGTTTTATAAATAAAGTTTTATTGGAACATAGGCATGTCTAAGAGTTTACACAGTGACTGTTAATGCTTTCATAGTACAATGGTAGAGTTAAGTAGTAACAGCAGAGACTATATGGCTCACAAAGCCTAAAGCATATACTATCTGGCCCTTTACAGGAAAAGTTTGTTGACCCCTGGCCTAGCTCAGCCGAATTGTGTCTGATATTTTCCTCTGCCACTTCCCATCTGAATTGTTAGAGCAGCCTCTGCCTTGTTCTCTCTGTTGGCCTCTCTCTCTGCCAATCAGCTGCCTGTTTCCCACCAGAGCAATCTTCAAATACATCATTGTATCACTTTACTGGCACAAAACCTTCTCTTGGTCATTACCTACAAAATAACATTTTAAACTTTCTAGTCCAGAATTCAGGGTGCTCTGGTCCCAAATTCACTGTCTAATGGTCCCATATACTGTGTCCCTTTAGGGACCCTCCCAGCCCCACCTCCTGGAGCCTCCAGCAGTGACCTAGAGCTGGGGGGAGCCCAGCTGAGCGGCCTCTTTGGCAGGGAGAGGTGGGTTCCTAGGCTGGAGTTCTGATTGCGTTTTCTCAGAGCACCGTGAACGTGAAGGGTGGAATCCACAGCAGGACTGGCGCAGGTGTGGTGCTGTCATGCAGGCTGGATCCTGACCCCTCATCACTGTGTGTGACATTGTTTCTGTTTGAAATGAATTTTAACCCCACTACCCATTTCTACATTGGATACTACCCTAGTTAGATGCTCAGAAAAATCTTTAATCCCATTTAAAGTAAGCAGCATTCATTGTTACCTTTGCCTTCATTTGTGGCTTTCTCTCTGCTCACCCAAGCAGGAACTCCATCATTAACTAGAAGTCACCGTGGCATCTCCCTTGGCTAGTTTGTCACCTGTTCTCTCTGTGGAGGCTGATTGCTCATCATACAGTGTGGGTGAGCAGAAAGCATGGTATTTGTCCTTGTAAGCTTCCTCCAAGGTCAACAGTGGTGTCCCTCTGCAATTTGTGTCCAGTGACTTATCCCTACCAGCAGTGCTCATGTTCTCATGCCAGGCTTCTCACCCCTAGCCCTGTCACATGTGCCCAGCATCCAGTTCTGGCATGTTTCAAGAGTGGATGGAGTCTGGTCATTCTCTGCATTTCAGAGATTGTTCCTTTTGACCTGGGCCCCAACGACTTTGCCTGCTATTTTCTTGAGTAGCCGTGGCTGCAAAATGGGGAAGGTCGTCTTTGACCGGTCTGTCCTTTGACTTAGAAACAAGGACGTATTTTAGGAGTTTCATGTGGTTTTGTCTCCCTGATTATCCAGCTTCTTTAATTTAAAAAAAAAAATTCATTAAAGGAATTTTTTCCCTTCCATATGACCCACCAAGTAGGTTCTAGAGGTTGACCGAGATGTTTGGCGTATGAAAGGAAAGATTCACAGATTTTGGAGCGTTCATTCCTATCGCCTACCTCTCTTCTTTTAGCAATGCCATTCTGGGCTCATAGAGGTAAAACTTTGACTTAGAGGGTTCCCTAGAAGTAAAAATTAAACACTAAAAAGGTTTTCTTTCTGAGTGCCCTTAAATGGTTTTCCCAGCATAGTGGGGATAGATAGGAAGATTCTGCGTAGAGGTGATGTTACCTTTTCTACACGAAACAAGACTCAGATTGAAAAACGTGGTAGGAATCTTTTTTTGGTCTGCTTTCAATGTCTCTCTGTTGATTTTCCTCCTGCTCTGGATTTGGTTTTCCCCTCTTGTTTGCTATGGTGCCATGTCCTGGTTACGGGTAAGAAGGGTTGCTTTCATACAGTTATTTTGGGGTTTGGCTCCAGCCCAGGATTTGACTTGGAAGATTTGAGAGCCGATACTACACGAGCGGCTTCCCTCCTCCCCTTGCTGGGCTTCAACAGAGACCTTGTTCTTCTTCCCTGCGCTGCAGAGAACACGAACTACAGTTGGGGATGATAATCAAGGGACTCCCAGGTTGCAGCCTCCTGTCATTCCTTGCTGCCATCAGCCTCAGCACACACCGTTTCCACTTCCCCTGCGTTATTGTTCCCCTTATTTCTGCCCAGTTTTCCTTTCCTAACTCCCCAATGAAGCTAGTTGCTTATGATCCTCATGCATGATTTTTTGTCAGTTGTTTCACCCTTGCAGCTTCCTTTTGCCCTCTATCGTGTTCCTGCTGGGAGCCACCAAGGATGCTTGGCATAGCCACGCATGTTGTGCCATTGTGACAGGACCATCACATGTTCCCCGACCCCTGGAGCACCTCTTCTTTTACTCTCCCTTTGTCCCTCCCTTGGTAACTAACGGAGGTAGACAGTGTCTACAGGATTGAAACAAATCATTTTGTGGCTCTTAGTGTGTAGACTCCAAATTGCATTATTCAGAAACATACAACTTGTTTGTCACTCTGCAGAGAGCCCTGTGGATTGAATTCTCAAGCCACCTGGGTTTTGTTCTGCGTCCATTGGGTGTCTCCCTAAAAACACGATGCCCGCTTTGGACATGGCAACTTTCATGCCCTTCCCAGAACCTTTCTTGCCCTCAGCTGTATTTGCTAGACATTCTTTATTCCTGAGTTTGTATCTTAAAATATTACTGGAACTTGGTGCTTAGTCCCCGAGGGACTTGCGCTCGTGTGAGCTCTCTGGCTTGGGGCTGCACCCAGATCTCCCAACCCAGGGACTGATTCAGCAGCGCTCCTTTCTCTTCTAGTAATAAAGGGGATCATCTTCTGTCTTACAGTTACCTGCACATCCCAGCATCTCCCTCCTGGGCACATGGCTGCAGTCCCCCCTTACTCCTGTCTGTGTGCTTTCCCTTGTGCCCCACACAGCACTTTGGGATCTCTCATCTCAGGGCCAGTGCTGGAAGGGGCAGTGGGTTGGCTTATTGGAGGTGTAGGGTTTTGGCTTTTGGTTTTCTGGCCATGATGTGTAGCTTTTATTTTTTGGTTCTCCTTGGCATCTGTTTACTTCCTTCCTTTTGGCTTTCTTTTCTTATTTTTCAAGTGGTACTGTATATCTCAGGGAAGAAATATCCAAAAGAGTCAAGTGTTTCACTCTGACTATAAGAAGTAAGATCATTATGAGCATTGGCTTCCATTGGATCTGATTTCACGTGCTGGTTGTGTTCATCAGTCTCTGGTGTCTCTTCCTTTCCCATCTGCCTCTTCCCTCCCCTTCTTACAGGTTAGGGAGGGTGGAGTTCTGATAGAATGAGGATGAGAGGACACCAAAGACAATTTTTTAAAAAAAACCCTCTAACAAAAGAGAACCAACATTGTATAAACCTTGGGTTATTTTTAAGAAGGCAAGGGTAAAGAAAGGGGCCGATAAATATATTTTCTGCTCCTGGTTCAGTGCTGGTCAGGGAGGCCGTCAAGAAAGGCCTTTTGGTCCTGTCAATTTGTACAGTTAAGTGGAAGGGGACTGGGCGCCCACGGAGGCCCAGTTGGTCCTGGCAGGAAGGCAATTCCCATCCCAGGTCCTGAACGCTTTATAGATTATCTGCTCATTCCGAAGCAGGACCTGAAGCAGCAAACAATTTTGCACCTGGTGCTTCTTGTTTCGATTTCTTAAAATAACCTTTTCTGTAGTTCTTCTCTGTTTCAAGGCCATCGTTGTCACTCAGTGCTTAGAACTGTGTTCCATTTGTCTTCAGTGTCTGCAATACGTGCATTTTCATGTTGGTTCCTTCGCTTCTCCTGCCGAATGTTTTAACAACTACGTGTTGACTACAAAACAAAGTTAGAGGAACCTGGGTTTTATGAGATGCTTGTACCCTGTTTCCCCAACCCTCCGACACACAAACACGTACCAACATGGCTTTTGCAAATTGGGGAGATTTTTTTTTCCAGTAATGATCGACTGTGAATTGTGACGGAGATTTTAAGCACCTCTGTGAAACTGACGGTAAAGCGCCTGGAATCCAGGTCGGCTGCCCCCACCTTCGCGTGGTTCCATTCCGCGTAGGCAGGAGCCCTTTCGCTGAAAGGGGGCTCTGTCCCATCAGGGGACCTATTGTTTCCAGACTTAAACGTCTTTGTTGGAACTTGCTTGGAAGAGGAGCCTGTGTTGCCACCTTGGAAAGAAAGTTTCTCTGTCCTTGTAGCGAGGGGCGGAGGGAGGGCTGTGGAAGGGGGTTCGCTGGCAGTTAAGTCCCAACAATGTTTTCTCAAGCTGAGACTGAGCTCCATTCATGCCCCTGCCCGTGTGTGGCTCCGTCACCCCCAGACGGGGCCAGCCCAGCAGCCCGAAGTCTGCAGTTAGAACTTGATCCCCTCATATAACGATTAAATTTTAGTAAGTGAAATAAAAATGTTTCAGTCAAAAAAAAAAAAAAAAAAAGGAAAGAAGGAAAGACAGAGCGGAACAATACTTGTTTTATTTAACTATGAAAAGTTTTTGACAGCACCCCCCTTTCCCCGCAGGATATGAGAACTCTCCGGTCCACTGCAGCCCTTCCCCGGGGACCCCCAAGCAGAGTCAGGCTGGGGATGGGAGGGGGGGGCTTCTAATGTAAATAGTGACCCTGAAGTCCCTGAGCCGGTCCCCCCTTCTCTCTCCTGTCTCCCCTTCTCTCTTGCCACCCCACCTCCCCCAGACCGGCAAACACAGAACACTGAGCAACTTCAGGTTCAGGCCTGGGCAGAATAAAGGTGCTTTGTGAAGGGGAAGGCAAACATTCCTGGGGGAGGTGAGGGGCTGGGGGCATGAATGTGCCCTCAGTCTGGGTGGATGCCGCACACCCTGGAGGGAGGTGGGGGCTGGAAGCCGAGGTGGAGGGAGGAGGGCCCGGCCCCAGCCAGGAAGCTCTGGGCGTGGGCAGGGCTTGTGGGAATGATTTCATTGGAAAGGCCTGCGATATTTTTTCCCCTCCTGTGTGTGGTTCTTGGAGAAAGTTGGAGGTGGTGGTGATTTCAGTCGCCTTGGCCGCGGCGAGCGGGAGCCGAGCAGAGGCACCGGGCCGAGCCTGCTGGGAAGCCCGCTCCTGCCCAGTCCTGCCCTGCCCTGCCCTGCCCTGCCCGGCCGCCTCCACCTTCCTCCGCATACCTCTTCCTCCCCTTTCCAAAACCCATTCGGGCCCTCCATGTGCAGGGTTCTTTTTTGGGTTTTCTTTTAAAAAAGAAAAAAAGACTTTTTGAGAGGAGCGGATGCCACCTAAGGTCCCGCTGCATCCTCTGCAACGTGCTAAACTATGGAAATGAGCCGTTGGCATTTTTATTTTTTATCGATCGATTCATTTTTACCCAGTGGCTCTTTTTAACCTCTGTGTTCTGCTGTGTTTCTTGTGTTTAGTCTTCGAGTGCTTCGACCGACCATGATCCCCTGGGCCCCCTCCCTCCTGGCTGGGGTAAGTACCGAGTTCTATTTCTGTGCCCTCAGCCTCCCGCCAGCCACGGTGCTCTTCTTTTCCGTGTCTTCCCCTCCCTGGTCCCATGCCTCGGTTTTCCATCTCACCTCCGCTCTCCAGCATCCCCCAGGCATGCCCAGCCCGAGTGATTACAGGTTACGGAAGTGTTCAAACCCCGCTGTGCCCCTGTGGCATCACCCGCCACTGTTAAAGGCTATGAGAAAGACGTCCTCGAGCAGCTGGGGGACTGTTGGGTTTTGGTCTTGAGTTTCAAGGTATCTGTTCCAGAATCCATCCCGTCGCTAAACTGTGTTGATGCTGCCTGATGCCCGAACGGATCTGTTTCAGGTCTTCTATGACTATATGGTTAGAAGGAGCTACCTTAACAGACCTTTCTTTGCAGTCAAGATGTTGGAGGACTTCAGTCCGCTTTTGACTAACGGAAGCCACATTTTTATTTGCGACACAGCAAAAAAGAAAGGGGCCAGAGGGAAGCAGATAAGAGGGTTGACCTCCGGACAGGTCCATGGAAGTGCACCGTTGCTAGTTAATAACGCCACGCGGGGTCCTCTTTGCTCTCGGCAGCTGCCTCTTACTCCTTCCAGGTCCTTGGTGTGATTTGCCAACACCGAGTTGAAGGACGGACACCCATGACTTAGGCGATGTTATAGGCTTAATGGATGTTCCGGGAAGGAGTGATCATGCGAAGGGTCCTTAGAAAGGATGAGACTTGGTGCATTTCGTAGCTCTCGGAATCGAGGCAGGGTTGTGTTCCATCCTTTAAGAGTCCCTGGGAGCTGCCTTCATTAGGAGGTTTGCAGGAATCAGCATGTGTTGGGTTTAATTTATAGGTTAGGCCAGCCGAGGACAGTAAGTGCTGGTCTGGTGGTGTTCGTAGGTGGCGTTAAGTTGGGAGGGGGTGTGCTCACCAGCAGGGTGCTGGGAAGCTGATGACAGGATGGGCCTCGCCTGGGAAATGCAGCTTTGGGGCTGGAGCCTCTCCGTGCACACAGCTGCTCCCTGGTAGTCATTTAAGAGGTTGTATCAACTCCCTGCAACCCGCAGGGTATCACTTAGTGAGTTCCCACTGCATTCCAGAGCACTAGCAGGACCCTCTGGTTCTTCTTGTGGGAGATACTAGTTCGTGAAGCTTCCACACATTTCTTGATTTTCAGCTACACACAGCTGATAGAGACTTGAAGTAGCTTCCAGATGCCAAGTGTGAAAATAGCTGAGATGGGAACAGAGGTGCTACGGCCAGAGGCAGTGCTGTTTATGAATGGTTAGGAAACAGCTACCAAACTCTAATAGTCCAAAATTGAGAAAAAAAGAACATTCTGGCTAAAGGCCAGTGTGTCTTCCTGGTCACAAATCCTCAGGGCTCTGTGCTGGCTGCCCCAGGGCTGTGGCAGGGGCTGCCTCTCTGGGGCTTGTTAAGAATGAGCTGCCAAACCGGGCGAGAACTGCATCGATGGGCAGCGTGCTGTCGGTCTGCTGGTGTGCCCCTTTGCTCCTCTAGGAGGGACCCTGCGATGTCCCCACACGCTGCTTTGGGACCCAGGATCCCTCGGGCTGGCTTAGATCCACATGTGCTCACATGCAGCCCTGGCTCTGGGCATGTGACTGACTGAATTCTCCCGAGTATGCTCGCCCCTCAAGTGAGGTTGTGCTAGGCGCTCGTTTAAGGACTTTCCCAGCCCCCAGACTGCAATGAAATTGTCTGCAGCAGCGAGGCCACGAGCAGCCTCCACACAGCAGCAGAGCCAGAAATGACGCACAGGCCTCAGACCCGCTGGACAGATCCTCCGGCCCCGCGGTTAGCCTTGGCCTCAGCCCTTGGCAGGGCAGATGTGGAGGATCTAGTTCAAAGCGGTAGCTGCTGGGCTGGGAGCGGCCCCTCCCCTGGAAACCTCTCGGCAAGTCTTCCTTCTGTGGGCCGGTCACTCAGCCGCGCTGCGGTGGTGGCGGCTCTGGAACTGTTCCGGCACCTTCTTTGCTTTTTTTTTCCTTCTGTCTTTATTTTTATTTTATTTTTATCTATCTATCCACATTTATTGAGGTATGATTGACAAATAATGCCTGTTTGAAAATTTCAGTTAAGTCACGGATACCAGTTAAGGCAGAGAGTCAGAGAGAGACCACGACGTTGGGCTGATCCTGGGAACGTGCAGTTTCATTCTTGTTGCAGGGGATGGAGGCCGTGCTAGTCCTCCCAGTTCTGTTCCTTTTGCAGCTTTCGAGTTCTCTGTAGCTTCTGGAACTGATTATTTTTATTTCTTTGATTTCTTGCTGTCACTGTTAATGAGGGAGAGCCATTAGCATCATTTGTGTTCAGGACAGAGACAGATTTGAAGGCTTAGGAACGTCCTTGGAAAGGTGACCTCTTTGAAGTTTGGGGCCTTGGCCCTTTCAACCCTTCTCAAGGTCCGAAGTCACCGGCCAGGCTTGGGTCGGTCCCTGAAGTTCAGACTACCACCCTTGGGGACCCCAGAGCCACCATCAGTGTGGCAGTAATAGGCAAGAGATTAAAGACAGGCCAGAGCAGAGCAACGTATGTCTGGCCCCACCCCCTCCCTGCAAACACTCTCGTCCCAAAGCACACACTTACGTGTGGAAACAAGATGGGCATTTTGAGTGTCCACAGCCCCAGCCATAATTTGTTTGTAAGCAAGATGGAGGTTTTTCTGGGAAGTGAGAGTTTTAGAACAGAACTTTGCCTATAAGCAGAAGAGAGAGAATGTGGAGAGTGAGGGGGCCCCATGGTGCAGAATGCTGACCACAGAGGTACGGGGGGACATGCAGCCACCCCACAAGGACCCTCCCTTGTGGGACAGAGGCACCCATGTTGGCTGCCTCCAATGGACTGAGCAGTCTCAGGGATCAGCCCAGGGACGGGGGTGGGGGCCCGGCGGGCGGGAGGCTGTGGTGCGCCCATGCTGCACACAGCTGGATGCAATTACGCCTCTGGTTTCAGCTGGGCTGCTCCGTCCCCGTCGCCACACCACCCCCTCCCTCCGACAAACCAGACAACCAAAGAAGTGCTTCATCACTAGTTGGAAATGTGTCTGTCCCTCCCCCAACCCCCGACAAGGAAGGCCTGTGTCCATCCTGTTTCCCAGTGACAAGTGTGAGTGGGCCAGGCTTTGGGCCAGTGAAATGTATCTAACAGGTTGGCAACAGGGGCAGAAACTCAGACCCAGCACACGGGGTTGGAGCCAGACGGAAAGAACTCAAGATGTTTGAATCTGACTGTTTTCTCTTTCTTCCCCCATGGCAGAGAAGAGACAGGACAACGGCCGGGTGTATTACGTGAACCATAACACTCGCACTACCCAATGGGAGGACCCTCGGACCCAAGGGTAAGCACTTGGGCTGAGTGGCCTTGGACTGCTTTTGTCCCAGAGGGCTGATGCCAGGGGACCTTTAGCCACGCGCAGGTGCCCCGAGACTCGCACAATATAGATGCAGTGTTGGCCCAAGGAGAGCTTGCACGTAGCTCCTTAGAGAGACCTTGGTGGATGGAGAGTGGCCCTGCTGGAAGGTATTGCTGGTCTTTGCGCAGATTGCGCAGGCTGCTGACAATCTGATTACAAAAAGGTTCAGGGCACCTGGCTCCCCAACACCCCAGGAGAAGTCGGGCCGCTTGGTGTCTCGGCATTGCTGGTAGCCGCTCAGCGTCATGCTGCCCACTCAGGGCTGGCTTTTTGGCCTTGTGACAGTGAATGACCTCTGTGCACTGCAGAAGTGACCTCATGAGTTGGGTCATGCTGGGCAAATATCCTCAAGGCCCCCCACCAAGGGGGAAAGCAAGGACATGGCAGCACTTTGGGGATCCCAGCTTCCTTCAATTTGAGGCCCAGAAGGTGGGGATAGCCCTTAACCCCCTCCCTGTGTTTTCAGGATGATCCAGGAACCAGCTCTGCCCCCAGGGTGGGAGATGAAATACACCAGCGAGGGGGTGCGGTACTTCGTGGACCATAACACCCGCACCACCACCTTTAAGGATCCTCGCCCAGGGTTTGAGTCGGGGTAAGGACTTTTGCCGGCAACAGCAGTGGCCACAGGCCCAGGGCGTCCTTGTCCCACTGGCTCTGGGGGGCCTGTGTTGTTCTCTGCTGCTCTTGCTGCCCTCTGGTGCCCAGTGTTGGTGTCACACTAAAGGGGCTAGGGACCAGGGACAGTCCTGTTCCTTCAGAGTAACGCTGGACATATTTGTGTAAACACAAGAGGCCTGGCTTTATTTCTAGATTTCCCTTTTTATTCTTGAAAGATCTTAATGGCAGTCTCTTTCTTTCTTTCATACCTTCCTTTACTCATCTTTAAATTAACCTAGCAGGAGCTTTCCTTAGGGCTAACAAAGACAAATCATTCATTCTTTGAGAAATCACGTGGATTCTAGAACATCTTTGTTCTTCCCAGGACGAAGCAAGGTTCCCCTGGTGCCTATGATAGAAGTTTTCGATGGAAGTATCACCAGTTCCGTTTCCTCTGCCATGTGAGTTCTGGTCTTGGGACTCCCAAGGGCAGCTGGGGTTATTGAATTCTTTCTGCTGCTGTCCCAGCTCAGCAGCAGGTGCTAGAACATCTGTCTTAGTTGGCGGTGAGATGCTGGTGTAGCCCAGAGCTGGTTGTCTCTGGGAAGCCAGCTTCCGTTCCCAGGGACATGCTCTCCCTGTCCCGGCCCAGGGGTGTTGAGGATGCCCGTTCATATAGATAGGAGACCAGATTACCACTCGTGGCCCAGAATTGAGGTTTTTCCATTTTCTTTTCAGTCAAATGCCCTGCCCAGCCACGTGAAGATCAACGTTTCCAGGCAGACACTTTTTGAGGATTCTTTCCAACAGGTTAGAGCGTAATTATGGTGCCCAAGACCAGGGGCAGGCGAGAGCCCTCTGCCCACCACCCCTTCTTCTACCACGCGGCCTGTTACACCCACGCTGTTGCATGTCCAAGGCATTGGGCTGGGGAGGAGGCCTTAGAATCTCCCTTTCTGCCCCCCACCTGCCGTGGACGGGACAGTGGCAGACTGGCCGGACACTCTGTCTCCCCAGATCATGAACATGAAACCCTACGACCTGCGCCGCCGGCTCTACATCATCATGCGTGGCGAGGAGGGCCTGGACTACGGAGGCATCGCCAGGTGAGCTCGAGTGCCCTGAGGCTGCACCGTGCCGGCTGCCCCGGGCTGCGGGTCCCGAGGCCAGAAAGCCGCGTCCCTCTCGCACAGATTCATTGCCAAAGTTGTCCTGCATCTTCAGGAGTGGGCACGGGCAATGTTCAAAATAGTGAATCCATGTGGCCAGTACAAGTGGGCCTAGAGCAGGGTCCTGGGGTCCCCTTTTTGGTTAGGACTAGCCCCATAGTTACGGGGTTATAGGTAGACTTGGGGGAGGGGGTCAGGACAGTGCCTCTTTTACCAATCACTGTGACATTATTTCTATACTTTAACAACCAGTCCAGCCACAGGTGCGTTAAAATCAGCCCTGGGCTTCCCTCATCTTGAGGCAGCTGGAGCAGGTGAAGTCAGGTGACTCAGTGTGCATAAGCTGTATCACCATCAAAAGGGCCGCTCTCAGGATTCAGAGTGTCACATGCATGGGGTCAGTAAATTGAAATGACTGATCTCACCCTGAAATGAGCCCGGAGCATTGTCTTGCCCTCACCCCGGTCCACCTGCAAAAGTTAACAGCTCTCTGGGAAGCGGTGCCTCGGACCACAGGCCAGAGGGGCCCCGGCCAAGGGAAGCAACGTCTGGCCCGTGGTGACCTCACGGTGGGGGGACGTCTTCTCGCTTGGTGTGGGGTTAACTTGCTTCTGGTCCTCTGTTCGCTGGTGGTGGTGCCTTCTGCGCTGACCCCCCGTGGATGGATTGTCCTTTTCCCGTGGTGACCTCCTCTCTCCAGGCTCTGCTTGGTGGGCTTCTGGTGTGGCTCGCGCCCTGTGTGTGTCTCTCTCTCTGTGTCCTGCCAGTGGTTTTACCCTATGGTAGGTTACGTCATGCTGTTCTACCACAGGGTAGAACCACGGACAGGATACCGGGGCACCCTCTGCATCGAAGGACTCCTCGTCTGCCCAGCCACAAACAGCCCAGCAGCCGGGGACTGGCCTCCTTGGGACGTCCCCCTGCTGGTTTAGCTCAAGCCCAAAAGGACTCTGGATTCTGGCTTGAGGCTTGGACCTAGGGCGCAAACAGACGCTAAGGCGTGGGTCTTAGTCACGTGACTGCGTGGAAGTGTGGGAAAGGGCATGGTGATGGGGCCTGGGAAGAGGGGAGGGCAGGGTAAGGGACTTATCAAGGTGCCTGTGGAGTAGCTGCTGGGAGCAAGCTTATGATGTAGAGGCAGCATGGAGCACAGGAGTTACCATGTGTTTATGTTGTGCTGCCTCCCCAGGTAGGGTGGAAGCAGGGTGGTTGCTATTCATATAGCACCAGCAAAACCGGAAAGTTGTTATAATAAACACGTAGGTCTGCGATACTTCAACATAGTGCCCTTGTGCAGTGCACAGCCTTCACAACTGTGCGTGGTGGCCCAGGGTGCAGGGAGCTCCTTTGCTATTAGAAGCTCTGGATGTTGTCATATAAGGTCCTAGAATGCACCACCTGGGAGCCAACGGGTTCACAGGCAGGTTTTCCTAAGCCTCGTCCTCAAATGCAGTTGCTGTCCTGGTTTGCCCAGGTCTGAGCCTGCCTCGCACACTGACCAGCTGTTAGTATGGGTTGGCCCAAGCCCTGGTCATAGCGGGGCTGTATTCCCCGGGACACGTGTCTCCAGACTACCTGAGCCACGCTGGCAGAGAGTCCTAACTCTCTTGTTCTTGTTTTTTTTTCTCTCTTTTCTGGCACAGAGAGTGGTTTTTCCTCCTGTCCCACGAGGTGCTCAACCCCATGTACTGTTTGTTTGAATACGCCGGCAAGAACAACTACTGCCTGCAGATCAACCCCGCCTCTTCCATCAACCCCGACCACCTCACCTACTTCCGCTTCATCGGCAGATTCATCGCCATGGTGAGGGGCGCCGGGGGCAGGCCCTAGTCCCAGTCTCTTCTACCTCTTCCTTCTGGCGAAGTGTGCTGGGTGCACAGGGACATCCGCCCTGCCCCGTGGCCTCTGGGAAAGATAGCCTGCGGGGAGGGTGGCCCTGTGCACCCAGAGGTAGAGTGGCCCCGCAGACCCCCACTCCCTCTCTGGGCCCCACGCCTCATCCCCACAGAACTCCTAACTTAAAAATGCAAAAAGCTAGAGAGAGTTCTGGAGAAACCAGAGTTTTCTCACTGGCCACCCGAGGGTATCAAAGGGCTGCCGGTGTTGATTTGTGCAGGACTTGTCAAGCAGACGCCCAGGGTCTCTGGGCCACAGATGTCACTAAACGTTAAATGCGTTCCACTTTGGGGGCGTTGGGATGACAGGGCCGAGCGAAATCATTACTGCCCACCTGCTGCCTGTCTCTGGGAAGTGCCACTGTCTGTCACCAGCGTTTGGGAATGTCCGACTGAGACACTAAGGCCTTGTAGAAGGAGATTTGGAGGCAGCACCAGCTGAGCACAGAACCCCAGCAGACGGCTTGGTGCGAGGTGTAGGAACCATCTGTCGGGACAGTGCGGAGGGAGTCATAGCTTCTGTATTGACCTAGAAATAGGAGCACAGTGTGAGTTTGGAAAGGGGGCTCCTGCCCTGTTGAGTGTCTTGGGAGTGTGGAGAACCGGGATGGAGAAGTAGCGGCCGTGAGAGACACAGTCTTTCTGCCCTGTTTGGTGGTTCAGGATGTTTCAATGCTAACTTTCCTTCACATCGCCCCCTGACTTCCCGAGTGTCCTGCCCAGCTCCCCTCCAGAACCCGAGGTCCCCATAAGTCCATGACTAAATATGGCCCTTCCCATCGTCTGCAAGTTCTTGGCCAAGGTGCTGGGCTCTGGAAGTCTAGAGACTGGCCCAGCCACGACAGGACAGACCAGTAAAACCCTAGACTATTACTCACCATTGGCCGCCAACTCTCGCCACCAGTGGCGTCTGCATTATTTTTGGCTGCCTTTGCCACCCAGCCCTGAGTGCCAGGGAGCCAAGGCTGCCACCGGGAGCTGTTCTGAACAAGTCCTTTCTGTGATTGTGGGGCAGGCCTTTGCTAGACCGGGAACCAGCCTGGCAGGCATGCGGGGTGGGCAGCGGGCCTAGAGGTGGGCTCCCAGGCAGGCTGGATCTGCAGTGTGAAATGGGAGTCCATCCCAACGTCCCAGGTGGGACAATAGTGTTGCAGTTTCCCAGACCCTCCCCCCAGGCCCCATAGATTCTAGCAGGGAGGGAAGGCAGGTCATGGGGGCAGGTTTTGATACCGAATCCAAGAGCCTGCTGTGGGCCGTGTCCAGGGAAGGCCAAACCTCTCTCCCGTGCCTCTTCCCTCCCCAGGCTCTGTACCATGGCAAGTTCATCGATACGGGCTTCACCCTCCCGTTCTACAAGCGGATGCTCAACAAGAGACCAACCTTGAAGGACCTGGAATCCATCGACCCCGAATTCTACAACTCCATTGTCTGGATCAAGTGGGTTCCTTCTGTCACCCTGTCCTGCAAGCAGCTGGGTCTCCGGCTGGGGAGTGGGTTCCAGTGGCTGCCAGGAAGGTCCCTGAGCACTCATCTTTGTGAGAGCTTGGGCAGAGGAGAGGCTTCTAGGTCCCCTGTAGGGCAGTTCTAGAATTCTCTCCTCGTGTCCGGGAACTGTCCTGTGCTCAGGATTCTAGGCCACTTGTGAGCCCTTGGGGACTCGTGGGCACTGAAAGTGAGTGATGGTGCAGGATCGAGGGAGACTCTGCTGAGATAGACGTCTTCCCTTGGTGTGTTGTCCCCAGGGAAAACAACCTAGAGGAGTGTGGCCTGGAGCTGTACTTCATCCAGGACATGGAGATCCTAGGCAAGGTGACAACCCATGAGCTGAAGGAAGGTGGCGAGAGCATCCGTGTCACCGAGGAGAACAAGGAGGAGTACATCATGTAGGTCTCAAGCGCTGGGGAGCTCCATGCTCAGGGACTGGGAAGGGCTGGGGAAGGGCAGCCGGCGGGTTGCAGAGAAAGGCTTCCCCACTCTTGTGTTGAGGTGTGGCCTGTAGGTCACTCTGGACCCAAGACCTGCCCATTTGGCTCTGCCTCGATGGCAGCTGCTGGTGCCAGTCACTTGATGACATGAGTTGAGGGAGCCAGAGCTCCAGATCCTCTGTCCTTGACCTCAGGTTGCTGTTTTTTGCTACATGGGAAGATCACGGGGCTGAATTTCTTTGAAGAAGTATCAAACTTAGGTGTGTCTGTCTTCCTCCTGACAGAAAGGACTTCTGTGCCATGTGTGCTGGGGGCACCTTCCCCCATGCATGTCTTTCAGGCTGCTTGGTCTGGCCTGTGACCTCCACACTCGCACATGTCTGAGGTTCAGTCGGTCGGTGATGGCGGCAGGAGCAGGAGGAGCAGGTGGAGGGGGTGGAGGGTGATTTCAAAGACTGTGATCTCCGGGTCACTCTGAGTTTTTCAATCTTCTGCTCTGGGGCCTTCAGCACACTGGGTCTAGGTGTGCCAGAAGTTTCTCCGCTGATTTGGTGCCCTGTGTACTAATGGCCACGTGGTCTCGGGCTCCACCATGGCTGGTCTTTGCTCTTAGGCTGCTGACGGACTGGCGTTTCACCCGAGGCGTGGAAGAGCAGACCAAAGCCTTCCTGGATGGCTTCAACGAGGTGGCCCCGCTCGAGTGGCTGCGCTATTTTGACGAGAAGGAGCTGGAGGTGAGTGTCTGAGGTTGCTGGGACCCTGAGCCCCTGCTTCCGGGGTGACCCTGCTCTTGGATGTGCTCACTGTACACCCACAGAAACTCACCCCTAAAACCGCCGCTCCAGCAGAGCAGATAGGTTTGATTTTATCCTCATTACCCACCCTTCCCTGGATGTTTGTTTTAAGAAAGCAGAGACTTGCATTATCTGTATTATTAAAGCTGCGAGCAACAGTAGCTAGTTGGAAATGTTTGGGACTGTTCCATCTGCTGGTGAGTCCCCATGGGGAGGGTCCAGCCGGGGTGCTGACGGCCTTCCCCTGCCCTAGCTGATGCTGTGCGGCATGCAAGAGATAGACATGAGCGACTGGCAGAAGAACACCATCTACCGGCACTACACCAAGAACAGCAAGCAGATCCAGTGGTTCTGGCAGGTGCGTCCCGGTGCCCCAGTTAGACCCCAAGCCCAGTAACCCTTTGTCTTTGACCTTCGCCCCTCCCCACCATCCCCCTTCCCCCTCAACCTGCAAAAGGAGATGATAAACCCAGCCTTGGGGTGGATGGAGGCTGTTGCAGCTGGTTTGTGGCCAGTGCATGTGACAGGAGGTTGTCAGTGGTCAGCCTTGGGCCAGCTGGTGTGCAGGGGATGACCTGCAGGTAGGAAGTAAAACTGCCACTTGTGTGGTCCTCTTCCAGCCAAATAGGATGGGAAGGCAGTCCCTTGGCTCCAGAAAAATTGAATGAGCTGTCATCTTGGATATAATGAATCAGTTTCTTTTTTTTTTCTTTTGAGACAGAATCTAGCTTTGTTGCTCAGGATAGAGTGAGTGCCATGGCGTCAGCCTAGCTCACAGCAACCTCAAACTCCTGGGCTCAAGCAATCCTCCTGCCTCAGCCTCCCAAGTAGGTGGGACTGCAGGCATGCGCCACCATGCCTGGCTAATTTTTTTCTATAAATTAGTTGGCCAATTAATTTCTTTCTATTTTTAGTAGAGACGGCGTCTCGCTCTTGCTCAGGCTGGTTTTGAACTCCTGACCTCGCGCAATCTGCCCGCCTTGGCCTCCCAGAGTGCTAGGATTACAGGCATGAGCCACCACGCCTGGCCTGAATTAATTTCTTTATATATATGGGTTTGCTGTTATCATTATGAAGTACAGCATACATAAGAAAATAATAAATGTAACATACATATTCTTTGTGTATGTAATTTTTGTGGAGGCGAAATTTACATAACATACAATTAACCATTTTAAGTAGTTTAAGATACACAATTCTATGGCTTCTGGCCGGGCCTGGTGGCTCATACCTGTAATCCTAGCACTCTGGGAGGCCGAGGCGGGTGGATCATTTGAGCTCATGAGTTCGAGACCAGATTGACCTAGAGCGAGACCCTGTCTCTACTAAAAACAGAAAGAAATTAGCTGGACAACTAAAAATATATATAGGAAAAAATTAGCTGGGCATGGTGGCACATGCCTGTAGTCCCAGCTACTTGGGAGGCTGAGGTAGGAGGATCGCTTGAGGGTAGGAATTTGAGGTTGCTGTGAGCTAGGCTGATGCCATGGCACTGTAGCCTGGGCAACAGAATGAGATTCTGTCTCAAAAAAAAAAAAAAATTCTGTGGCTTCTAGTACATTCACAGTGCTGTGCAAATGTCACCACTGTCTAGTTCTAGGACATTTCATCTGCTCCAAAAGAAACCCTATGCCCATTAAGTAGTCACTCCCATCCTTAGCATATTTTTAAAAGCAGAACTTGGATGGGAAGAGAGTACCTGGCCTGAGGTGTCCCCAATCCCAGCGATGGCCTGTGGACTGGTGGGAATGTTCTGCAGAGACAACCTCTTAGAGAAAGCACCTCTGGGGTTTCTCAGGTTGGTGGCTCTCACCCCCTACCCGACCTGGCTTTGTCTTCTTAGCCCTAAAGAGGGTTAACCCACTGACCTGGGGAGCTCCCTGCTAGGGCCTGGCCAAGTGGGCCACCTCATGTGCCTTGATGTGTGGCGTTCCAGGTGGTGAAGGAGATGGACAACGAGAAGAGGATCCGGCTGCTGCAGTTTGTGACTGGAACCTGCCGCCTGCCTGTTGGGGGCTTTGCCGAACTCATCGGTAGGTTTCTGTTGCCCTGCTGGTGCCCGGGCTGCGGGTGAGGACAGTGTGTTCCTGGAAGCAGGTCATTGGGGGGGGAGAGCCGTGGACTCTTTGTCGTGACCTCTTCGTCCTGGGGCTGAGCCTGTCTGTGGGTGGAGCCAGAGGGTCCTGCTTTGGGAAGGAACGTGTCTGTTGACTTACGGTGTGTTTGATCTTGGGTGACAGGTAGCAACGGACCACAGAAGTTTTGCATTGACAAGGTTGGCAAGGAGACCTGGCTGCCCAGAAGCCACACCTGGTGAGCCTGCTGGTCTCGGTGGCAGATGGGGGAGCCTCATAGACCAGACGCCCCCCTGGGGCAGCCCAGCGGGGGCAGCCACTTCCCAGCCTTGACTCTGGCAGCCATTTGTGGCTCTGGGGTGTTGGGTTGGCGAGATGGGGCTGTGATGTGCCCGGGCTACAGCCACCTCAGGCCTCTGACCCATCGCTGTGCAGCTCCTCCCCGATACGCAGCTGTCCTGGCCCCTCCCCGGCCCTTGTGGTCCAGGTGCCTGCGCCGTGGGGGCCTGCTGTGTCAGCCCGTGGCAGTGGCGTGAACTTTGTGGCCCCCTGCAGCCAGCCAGGGCTGCTAAGCGTCCTGCTTCCCTCCCAACAGTTTCAACCGCCTGGATCTCCCACCCTACAAGAGCTACGAGCAGCTGAAAGAGAAGCTGCTGTATGCCATCGAGGAGACCGAGGGCTTTGGACAGGAGTAACGAGGCCGCCGCCCCACGCCCCCCAGCACACACGTAGTCCTGAGTCCTCCCTGCCTGAGAGGCCACTGGCCGTGTAGCCCTCGGGAGGTCCCCGAGGACAGTGGCCCTGCATGGGATCACCCTGTCATCACGCTGGTGGCAGAAGAGCCCGACCCCAGGAGGCCCTGCAGCCCTGCCACCTGCGGGTGGCAGTCTGGAATAAAGCCCCCAGTCACCTTTGGCCCCACCACCCATTGTGAAGTCCGGAGGGCTGACCCTCTCTGCAAAACTCTGCCCCTTCCCCGGGCCCAAGCCTGGGTGTGCGTGAGTGTGCCAGGGAAGGGGTTTGTCTGGGGCTGTGGCCGGAGCCCGGGGCCGGGTGGGCTGGTTAGGCGGGAAGGAGATTGGCCACTCGGGGTAGCTGTTCGGGACCGAGAAAGCCAAGGGTCTCTGCCAGTAAAAGAGGTTCTGTCTCAAATAGAACTTTCCCGGTGATCCATATGAAATGAAGGTGTGCGGGCGAGGACTCTGGATCAGGGCCGATCTTAGTTCTGTCCCTGGTGGGTTCCAGCCAGCAGGGCAGCAGGACTCAGTGGCCAGTCCGTTCTTTCTCAGTAAACAAAGTCCAGGCTGCCTGGGCACCCGTGGAATGGAAACAGCAAACTCCCGCAGACTCCCTTTGTCTGTTCATAAACTTGAAGCATTTGTGTGTAGGGTTGCTTTCGGTTTTCTGGTGTGCTGCTTTCACTTTCTGTCAAGGAGCTGGTACCCCAGCTGTTCCAGGACCTCAAGGGACCCAGCTGCTTGGGTCTAAGAGTTTCCCAAACAGCCGCTCGTCTCAGGAACCCTCTTAGCAGTTCTGTGAGCTCAGGCAGGCCTGACATGGCAGTTCGTCCTCACGGTGTGGCCTAGTCCCTGAGCTTGGCAGAGAGGAGTCCTGAGCGATACTTCTAACCTTGCCACCTTCGATAGAGAAGAAGCCCCTTTGCTAGATACAGTCACCCGGGCAGCCCCTGGAGCTCCCGGCGGGCCGTAGTCCCCTGTTTAGGATGCAGTGTGGCCTGGCCAGCTGAAAGAGCTCATCCTGCATAGATGCGAGGCTTTATCTGCATGCAGGAAAGGAAAACCAGCGGAAGGGCCCTGAGCTGCTGCAGAGCCTGACCTGATTTGGGGAGTTCCCATCAGCCCCTGATGTGGGAATGTGGTGGTTCTAGAAATCTCCAAGGTGAACGTGCTCCTGTGGGGTGCTGGAGTAGCAGAGACCCCAGTCCGGACCCCTGGGTTCTAGTGCCGACCGCCAGCTGCAGACCAGCTTCCTAGAACCCCAGACGGGCCCTCAGGCTGGTCATGGGAGCCCTCTGAGGATAGCCTCATGTCCCCAGACCATGTCCTTCCGAGGCCCGTGGAGGCACAGCCCGTGTCCACCTGTCGCGTGTGCTGGTCTGAGCGGCCCAGCTTGCTGCAGCTCAGCCTGCTCTGTCCCACTGTCATTTGCTGCTCACCCCACGGCACGTCCCCACACAGGCCGCTTTGTCGGGTGGGCTGGGGCGCGAGCTGTGCTTCGAGGTTTGGAAGCTTCAGGCTTGCGGGTGTTCATGGGTGTTCATGTGTGTGTGCGTACCTACGTGTAAATAACTGAAGTGTCTGTGCGGAATGCCCTTCGGTAGCACTGGGTTGGTCAGCAGGTTGTTTTGTAATGCCCGCCCCCTGCCTCGATATTGCCAGTTTCTTGTGCAATAAACAATCAGCAGCTGTGGGTGGTGTTGGTGTGGATGTCTGCAAAACTTCTGTCCTCCAGACAGGTGGCCTCTGGGCTCCATAGACCCTCCAGACCCGGGTAGAGGTGGAGATGTTCATTTTGAGAAACATGTGCATCATTAACCAAGGTAGCCCTACTTTTGGGAAGGGCGGCCGAGTCCTTGTCCAGGGATCACTGGCTTCAGCCCTCGGTCGGCTGTCTCACTGTACCCTCTCACCATCCTGTGCCTCCCCTGCCAGGCCTGGGTCTCTTCCAGCAGTTGCTGTGGGCAGCAGACCAGGACCAGCTGCAGGTTGGGTGGGCTTGGGGGAGAGTGTTCTGGGCAGTCATTCATTCAAGAGATACTTATGGGGGTTTCACAAGTTCCATGATTGCAGAGGGACTCGATCTCGACTTCATGGTCACACAAGGACTTGTCACTCCCTTTTCTTGCCAGTGAAGTGTTCAAAGCTGGGGCAGGTCACCACGCTGATGGGGCCAGATGCATTCAACACGGAAATGTGGACCACAGGAGCCCTGGTTGCCTCTTCTCAGGGAGGTAGAGATGTCCAGAGCTCCCTGGAGTCCATCAGCTGTGCTCATGCCCACCAGCCCCAAAGCCTGCCTTTCACGTGGCGGATCAACATTACGTTTTGACAAAATCATTGAAAAAAGTCCATGTTGTGCAGACATCTCGTAATAAATTCAAGTAAGACATGCACAAGTGGAAATCCTGCTCCCCACCCCTTTCTCCAGAAAGAACCTGTGCACAGCTGGCCATGGTCCTTCCAGACTATTTTGTGTGTATATGCAAGTCATACATGGATTTTAAAACATACCAAAATGGGGTTATTATACATGTTGAACAACTCACTTCTTTCATTAAATGCGACACCTTTCCATGCCTGTTAATATAGATCTATTTAATTCTGTAGCTACTGTGTGATATTCCGTATCGTGGTGGTTCTAGAATACTCCCACTTCCTTCCTAAGGGGCGTCGAGGTTGTGTCCAGCAGGACGCTGGTGGCTGCAAAGCTTCGGTAAATGGCTTTGGGCAGGTCTGTGGGCCGGTGCTGCTCTTCCGGTAGAGGACAGTCCTAGAAGTTGGATTGTTGATTATGCACCTCTATTTTTATTTACAAAATTTTAAAAGGTTCAGAATTCAGAGATGTGAAGGGTCTGCAGTGAAAGGCCTCCCTTATTCTTCCACCCCTCAGTCACCCCGATCCCTCTTGGAGGCAGCTGTTGTTGCTGGCTTCTTTTGGATCCTTCCAGATATACTTCAGAAAATTCCAGTAGGTCCTACCAAATTGCCGTACAGGTTCTTGTCTGGCCACCCTCAGCACTGGGCAGGATCTCTGGCTGCCCCCTCTGTGAATTGATCTGAGCTCCCGGGTCTCTGGTTGCCCTCTGGGCATCTGCCTTTGACTTTCACACAATCAGAGTGGTTTTAACATTTATATTCTATTGTGTAACCAGAATGAAATGTTCCCTCCTTTCTCCAAAGATTTATTCTAAAAGCTGACATGCAACAAAAATGTTTCTATTGCTATGATCATGTAAATACAATTTACTAAATAATATAATGCAACTAGTTCTTGCTTGGATCTCTCCCTCTGTGGTTTCTTTTCTTTTCTTTTTTTTTTGAGACAGTCTTACTCTGTCACCTGGGCTAGAGTGCCGTGGCGTCAGCCTAGTTCACAGCAACTTCAAACTCCTGGGCTCAAGCAATCCTGCCTCAGCCTCCCGAGTAGCTGGGACTACAGGCATGTGCCACCATGCCTGGCTAATTTTTTGTATATATATTAGGTGGCCAATTAATTTCTTTATAGTAGAGACGGTGTCTTGCTCTTGCTCAGGCTGGTTTTGAACTCCTGACCTTGAGCAATCTGCCCGCCTTGGTCTCCCAGAGTGCTAGGATTACAGGCGTGAGCCACTGCGCCTGGATCCTGGCTAAATTTTCTGTTTTTTGTAGAGACGAGATCTTGCTCTTGTTCAGGCTGGTCTTGAGCTCAAATTATCCTCCTGCCTTGGCTTCCCAGAGTGCTAGGATTACAGGCGTGAGCCACTGCGCCCGGCCCCTCTGTGGTTTTTAATTACCTCTCTTTGCTTTTATTACATTCTTAATTTTTTTCTTACTCTGAAATGTTTCAAGTAAAACATTTAGGTACTAGTTCTATTATAGTTACTAGAGTCCCCCTCCCCCCGCCAAATCCCTAGAAATTATAATAATTTACTGATATAATTAGCCAAAGATAAGATAGAAAATAATTTTGGAAGTGGAGAGTGATATGACTATCTTTCGTGCCCAGAGTCCCCAGTGGGGCTCCCAGGTGCCAGTAAGACTTTATATAAGGTGGGACCTCACCAGATCTGGTAAGCCCAGCTCTTTCTATACCATGGCCCTTCTCCATCTTGGAGCTTATGTCACCTTTCTAGAAAAACACACTAAAGAATCTGTGTGTGGCTCATGCTTATAGTCCTAGCACTTTGGGAGGCTGAGGCGGGAGGATCACTTGAGCCCAGGAGTTAGAGGTTACAGTGAGCTGTGATTGCACTGCTGCACTCTAGCTTGGGTGACAGAGTGAGACTCTTTATAAACAAACAAACAAACAAAAAAAGATTTGCGTGCTTACATTTAAAGGCATGTTTACAAATAGCAGCCTCTCCTGCTGCCTGAACCAAACTAAGCATCAACAAGGCTCCAGCCTCATCTTGGGGAAGAGAATTAAGCCAGTAGCCAAAGTTGTTCCCTAAGCTCACGTCCCTACAGTCTACCCCTGGATCTGATCTTACCTTTTCTCCAGCCACTTCTGATTCTGAGGTTGGTTCGAGTACCACAGTCAGAAACCCACTTTCCTACATTCCATGCTCCAACCAATTGATTACAGACTGGAGCATTGATTTTTCTTTGGTACACTTTCTGTTACTTGTATCTTCTAAACATTATCATGGATTCAAGGTCTAACTCTAGTTGGGCTCAGTGATGCATTGTCTTTGGTTTGTTTAGTTTTTTTATTGTGGTCAAATACACATAACACAAAATTTACCATCTTAGCCATTTTTAAATGTGCAGGCAGTGGTATTAAATGCATTCACCTTGTTGTACAACCATCACCACCATCCACCTCCAGAACTCTTTTCTTTGGAAACTCTGTACCCATTAAACAACTTCCCGTCCTCCCCTCCCACGCCCTGGCAACCACCATTCTACTTTGTCTCTATGATTTTGACTACTCTAGGACTTCAGATAAGTAGAATCATACAGTATTGTCTTTGTGGCCAGCTTATTTCACTTAGTATAATGTCCTCATGTTTCATCCACGTTGTGGTATGTGTCAGAATTTCCTTCCTTTTTAAGGCTGAATGTTATTCCATTGTATGATAGGTATAGATCCCATGTTGCTTATCCATTCATCTGTTGGTGGGTATTTGGGTCACTTCTACATTTCAGCTCTTATGAATAAGGTTGCTATGAACATGGGTGTATAACCATCTCTCTGAGACCCTGCTTTCAGTTCTTTTGGGTATACCCAGAAGTGGAATTGCTGGATCACCTTTTTTTTTTTTAAGCCCTATTAGGTGCCAGTCACTTTGTTAGATACTTTTTTTTTAAAGAGATGGGGGGTCTTGCTATGTTGCCCAGGCTAGTCTAGAACTCCTGGCTCAAGTGATCTCCTGCCTCAGTCTCCTGAGTACCCAGGACTACAAGTGCACATCATTGGCACCCAGCTTGGATCATACAATAATCCTATTTTTAATGTTTTGAGCAATTGCCATACTGCTTTCCTCAGTGGCTGTACCATTTTACATTCCTACCAACAGTGCACAGGGTTCTAATTTTTTCAGCATTTACTATTTTCTGTTGTTTTTTTTGATAGTAGCCATCCTAATGGGTGTGAGGTGCTATCTCCTGGTAGGGTTTTTTTCCCTCTTAATCCCATGACAGATTATCATTGTAGTTTTGATTCGAATTTCTCTAGTGATATTGAGGATAATTTTGTGTGTTTATTGGCCATTTGTACATCTTCTTTGGAGAAATGTCTGTTCAAGTCCTTTGCGTTCTTTATTTTCTTTTTGATGCTCATTATAATTTTGGCCCCTTCAGTTTGACTCTGTTGTCACCCTTTGATGGCCTGCAAGATATCCTATTCCCAACCTTAGTTCCCTTGCCCAGAACAGGGAATCAGTCACTCTACCGGAAGCCCTGGTCCTTTTTGGTGTAAAAAAGTTATTAGAAATAAAAACATGGGGTTCCACCAAAATGCTCCGAGTAAAGACACAAAATGTAAGAAGAGAGAAACAAAAAGACTGCTTCAAAGACAAGATAAATAATTCCATGGGCCAGAAACAGAACAAAAGTGCAAAACCTTGGGTGAGACTGAAGCGGTGGCCCTGCAGTCCCTGCAGCCTGGCAGTGGGGCTGAGAGCTCAGCCGCTGCGGGCTGCAGGGGTCTGACTAGGTCCAGCACAGACGGGACATTTCATGGAAGCCGGCCAAGCAGCAAGCAGAAACCATAGCCAACTGCCGCTGCTGTGCCCTGGGCTGTGGCTTCAAGAACCAATGATGGAGGCCGAAGGAGGCGGAAACTCACCAAGCCATACCCATCACGTAGTTCTGAACTGGGTCTGTGATCTTCCCAGGTCACCGTAGGCCAGGGCCCCACTCTGCCATTTCACGATGAAGCTCCAGGGTGTGGTGGCCCAGAAGGACAGGAGGAAGCGGGCCAGCCCTGGCACAGGAGAGGGAGCGAAAGAACAACCCCTCACTCAGCACGTCTGGCTCTTGCTAGTTCAGTGGGAGACACATGGGTGGGTCTTGCTTGCTGGTCTTTGCTGTGAGGGATTTGGTGGCAAGCAGACCCTTTCTCTGGGGCTCCAAGCATCACTGTTCAGGGTCTCTGAGGTGGCTGGTTTCTCTAGAGATGGATCCTCTGCTGCCTGCCTGTGGAGGAGGAAATGCCTGAGCTGGGGACACCTGCTGGCAGGCTTCCTGGGAACAAAGACCAGGAAGGAA